CTGAACCGAACTGAGAATGTGCGGACAACTAAATCTATAACCATACCCCCGTCTTGCAACCAGATTATAACAGGTATTTGCAGGGGTAGTGCTCCACAGATTGGTATGGAGTTTTGTGCCACACAGTCCGTTCTTCCTGGTTCACTTACCCTCGTTACTGGTGTTGTTGGGTTTCAGTCTACCCACTCAACAACACGGGTCAAGGTTGAGGTCGCTAACCCGTCCACCAAGGCTGTTACAATTCCAGCCAAAACAGTACTTTGTCATTTGGAACAAGTTGCTGTGTTGGACGGCTTATCCCCTGAGGATGGCGTCAGTAATACTGGCTCTGTACCTACCAAACTACCCAAAGAGTTATTTGAACTGGACTCTCTGGGTGATAATCACACTCCAGATGAAATAACTCAATTGCGCTCTCTACTGAATGAGTTTGACGATGTGTTTAGCAAGTCTGATATGGACATGGGACATACTGACTTGGTCACCCATTGAATAGAACTCACAGATGAGACTCCATTTAAGGAAAGACATAGACGTATTCCGCCCTCTATGTATCAAGAGGTCAAGGACCATATAAAGCAGATGTTAGATGCTAAAGTTATCCGTCCATCTGCTAGTCCATATGCCTCGCCTGTTGTCCTGGTTCGCAAACATGACTCGAGTCTGCGCTTCTGTATTGACTTTAGAAAATTGAACAGTCGCACAATTCGAGATTCATACGCTCTACCAAGGATAGAGGAAACTCTTGATGCTTTACATGGGGCAAAATACTTCTCTTGTCTTGACCTTAAGAGTGGATATTGGCAAGTCGAAGTGGATGAGGAGCACAAGGCCCGTACTGCCTTTACTGTTGGCCCACTTGGGTTTTACGAGTGTAACTCTATGCCCTTTGGACTGACAAATGCTCCAGCTACTTTCCAACGCCTGATGGAGAGGTGTATGGGCGACATTCATCTTCTCCAATGCCTCATTTATCTCGATGACATCATTGTGTTTTCTAAGACCTTTGATGAGCATCTTGAGAGATTACGAGCAATCTTTCAAAGATTGCACAAGAACGGGCTCAAGCTAAAGCCGTCAAAATGCCAATTCTTGCAGACCTCCGTTAAGTACCTAGGTCACGTAATCTCCGAGGAGGGTATCAAAACAGACCCTGAGAAGATTGAAGTATTGAAGACCTGGCCAATTCCACGTAATGTCGAAGATGTTCGTCGTTTTCTTGGATTCTCCGGCTACTTTAGACGTTTTTTCCAGACTACGCTAAAGTTGCCAAGCCTTTAACCACTTTGCTTGCTGGACATGGCGGGAGATCCAAACGCAAGATCAAGTCAAACCAACCATTTGTATGGGGGGATGCTCAACAGTCAGCTTTCAGGGAGCTTATGAGCAGGCTTTCTTGTGCTCCCGTTTTGGCTTTTGCTGATTTCACTCTGCCCTTTGAATTGCACATCGATGCAAGTGGGGATGGCTTGGGTGCAGTACTGTACCAATCCCAAGACAATCAAAGGCGAGTGATTGCCTATGCAAGTCGCAGTCTCAGCAAAGCCGAGCGCAATTACCCTGCTCATAAGTTAGAGTTTTTGGCTCTAAAATGGGCTGTCTTCAAGAAGTTTCATGATTACTTGTATGGCAACTCATTCACTGTAAAGACTGACAACAATCCCCTCACGTATGTCCTAACTTCTGCTAAGTTGGATGCAACTGGGCATCGCTGGCTCGCAGAACTTGCTACTTATGACTTCTCCCTTGAGTGTTCCGGGTGTAAGGAATGTTGATGCAGATGCTTTGTCCAGGTTGCCGCGTGAGTCCATGGACATTCAAAGTGTGTCTGCTCTCTGTAATGGGCAACTCATCTCATCATGTGCCGTGGAGACACTCTCCCTCAATCAGGAGGTGATGAATTGTATGTTGGCGGTCGATGGTATGGAACCTTCTGACGTTGTCGCTAGCCAACGGATGAGAACATATCATCAAGCTGATTCCTCAATCTGTTCGATTTTGGACCTCATCCGTAATGGTACGCGTCCAACCAAGGAGGCTCTCAAATCCATGGACTGGGACACTGCATCCATTCTCAGGCAGTGGGACTCACTCACTGTCAAAGATGGCCTTCTCCACAGGCAACAACTTACAGATGGTGTAGTACCCTACTATCAATTGATTGTTCCTCAGTCTAAAAGAGATGAGGTCATTACCCATCTACATGACGGCATGGGACATCTTGGTAGGGACAGGACCGTGGCTCTTCTCTGGACACGGTTTTACTGGCCGGGAATGATCACGGATGTGGAGAAAAGGATTCGCTGCTGCCAGAGGTGTATACTTCGTAAAGCTCCTAACCAAACTGAGCGTGCACCATTAGTTAGCATCCAAACCACTCAACCTATGGAGTTGGTGTGCATGGACTATCTCAGCTTGGAGCCCTCCTCTGGTGGTTATGAGAATATCCTGGTCATTATGGACCATTTCACCAAATATGCTGTTGCCACTCCCACTCGCAACCAAACGGCACGTACTACAGCCAAAGTACTGTTTGATCACTTCATTGTTCACAATGGCATTCCAGAGAAGTTACACTCTGATCAAGGCCGGAACTTTGAGAGTGATATCATCAAACAGCTGTGCAGCATATTGGGTATTCTCAAAAGGCGGACCACTCCGTATCATCCAATGGGTAATGGTCTATGTGAGCGGTTTAATCGGACGCTCTTAGGGATGCTCGGCACTCTGGAGGAGCAGCAAAAGGCAAAGTGGAAAGATCACCTTTCTCACTTAGTTCATGCCTATAACTGTTCCCTCCATGAGTCAACGGGGTTCACTCCCTACTTCCTCATGTTTGGCAGACAACCTAGGCTGCCTGTTGACGCTGCTTTTGGTACATCACTGGCCAATATTTCATCACCAGCTTATACGCAGTTTGCTGCTGATCTAGAGCGCAAATTACACACTGCATATGAGCTTGCAGCTGCAAACCTTGAAAGGGCTCGGGCTAAACAACGCAAAGCCTATAATCTTAAGGCACACGGAGCCACAATCAAGGTTGGTGACGTTGTATTGGTGCGTAACGTCAACATACGTGGGAAGCAAAAACTGGCTAACCGGTGGGAAGAGGAGTATTACGTGGTTGATTCTCAACCTCATGCCGACATTCCTGTGTTTAAAGTTCATAAGGAAGGAACCAGAGAATGTCGTGTACTCCACCGTAATCTACTCCTTCCCATTGGTACGAATGGTCAGCCCATACCCAGGCCACGGCGCACACCATCGACATCGACGACGACGACGACTACTACTACTTCTGTTTCAACACCATCTTCTGGCGAGCTTAAGGACACAAGTACTGACACAACACTGGAGATCTCAACAACCAACATGGATATTGAGAGTTCTCCTTCTCCAGTGTCGGTATCATCCCCAGTGTCAGCACTGCCACCAATCAGCCCGCCATTTGCAAGTGTGTCACCAGTAGTTTCACCATCCACACCAGCACCAACTGCACCAACCAGTTCTATCCCTGGCTCAGGACCGTCAACTCCACAGCCACCACCTCGGCGAGTTGGACGAACCCGAACAAAGCCAAAGTGGATGACAGATGGGCAGTTTGTTGTAAAACAAAGTGTCTGGGTGTGAGGATGTAATTAGACATTGCCGCTATTTAATGGCGAGGTCGCCATTTCCCAAAGTGGGGGTGTATGTAGCCGGGTGGTGGTGCTAACTCTGAATGAGTTATAGCCACATAAGTACCACCCACTTATAACCCCCTTAGATTCATTCTATACATATATACATACATGTTCATCTATTATCACCATCACTTCATTCTATGTTCATTATATGTTGTCCTTGTCTGCAGTTGAATGTCAGCCAACTAACACCAACCTGATACCCTTTTGCAGCCTCTGTAATTTCTCCAGCTTCACCTGGACTTCCCCCTATCTATTTTTAGATATGTCCACCACTTTATGTGACTGAAGCATCTTGACTTCCTTTTAATACCTGTCAGATGCTACCTTTCTTCTGATTGGCCCTTTGGTCCACTTCTTTAAACTTCCTTTCTCACCTGCCCTCCTCATGCATTCTGCATGAACTCTTTATGGAGGGAGGACTCTTGTTTACAGGTGAGAAACATTTCAATATTCTTATCTCTTTCCATCCTGCTTTAGAAACAATTATATTCATAGAAAGGGTATCACAGCTTTTCATTAAAGTAAAATATATTTAAATGCATTATTATTTAATTTGTTATATCTAAATGTTTGCCAGCTCACACATTTTGTGTTACAATAATTGAGCACATGGTCTTCAACCATGTGCTCCCCAACATATCCCTATAAATTAATCTGTTTCCTTTTGGTTTAAATTAAATTATAACATATTCTGCATGAACTCTTTATGGAGGGAGGACTCTTGTTTACAGCTTCCCTCCCACCATCTACTCCAAAAGAATAAATATCATCATCATCTTCAAGAACTGCCTCATGTTTTGACTAGCAGCCCAGTGGCTGGACACATGACACCACGCCCGGCTACATAGTTTTGAAAGCAACCACTAAATCTGTGATCGTGTTTTACAGATTGAGTTACCTTAGTCCTTTATGAACCTGTGCAAATAATAGAGTATGTCTTCTTCATTGTCCTATTTGGGGGCTGACTTGAATTTGATTTGTCAATTTGGAAGAAGAGACAAGATAAATTGATGTGTATACAAGTTGCCGTCTTCACGACTGGTACTTTCAGTTTATCAGGCAATCAGTCATTCCTTCTGTCTGTGTTGCTGTTTTACAGGAATGTACATCGAATGAGACATATATCCTTATAAACATCCAAAACAAAATGATTTAAAGTGCACATGTAAATTTAGTACACTTGTCAAAACATGCAAAGTTCAAGTGTAGTTTTCCTATTTCTAACCATAAAATGATAGTTCTCAGCAGCAATTGTGATACATGTATAAGTTTCTGAGTCTATCATACTGATAAAACTGCACCCACATTTTCCAGCTGACAGCCTTGGGTTATGAGTTGGAGATGGGCCGACGGTCACTGATGAAACACAAAGGAAATGTTGAGAAGGCTGTTGATGACCTGATCAGATCTGGAGGCTTCATACCTCCTAATGCCCCAATGCCAGGTACTTTATATTTGTTGAACAACAACAAGAAGCACCTGTCAGTAGTCACAGAAGACCATTCAGGGAGGGTCACCTGGAGACACACACAATAGATTCTTGGGAGAGCTGTTAAAAATATGTATGTAATTTTTAGGAGGGCCATAAAAACAACTTAACTGATGTAGAAAATAGGATTGTGATGATTTATTGAACTGTAAATGCATTGCAAAATTTTGGTGACAAGTTAAAAATAATCAATAGTTGACATTGATGTGACACTAGAGTATCAATAGTTTGATGAATGAAATGATTGACAAAATACTGATAATCACACCTCTTTAATAATCTATCATTTGAATTGTCCAAAATAAACTCTTGTTTAAAGATATGTGTGAGTATTCATTCAGATCATGTTCATAAGTTTTGATCAGACTATAGTCGGACTATACGCAACATCCCTTGCAATGACCTGCTCTTGGTAAATAGACTTCAGGCCTCCTTGACTCATTATCTGCATTATGGGAAGGTAGAGGTACTGATAATACCATCACCATGGAATGTGCAACTGTCACGATCTTACCTGTTTCTTTTCAGTTCTTGTTTGCCAGTCAAACTAAGCATACAGATTGTACCTGTCTAAACTTGAGACTCCATACTTCAGGTTCCTCCCGGGACAGAGACAATTCTAATGAAAGGAAGGAGGAGATGGAAGCCCTGGACAGTCTGATGTCTGACATTTCCCGGGACGAGGACGACTACCTTGATCTGACATTGAAAGAGGAATCCGAAATACTCTGTGAATACAGAACCATGCTTGCCAGTCTGGATGTGTCATAGATACATGTCTTTGACACATCTATGTGACAAGTCATTCATGAGATCACCTTTATATATGTACTCAAGATACAGCCTGCTGATGTTTTGACTAAGTACTAGTTCAACTGTTAAGTAACCAGTAGAGTATATGTAATGGTGAGCAAATATGAAAATCTGGTCAATATTCAGTCAGAAGTCACATGACTTGAAAATATTGATTGATTTGGACCAATTTCAGTTTAAGCCAACTAAATTATTGAATATCAAGGATGAGTAGAGGTCGCATGGTCATGCATGCCCCAGACTGAATTGGATCATTTGAGATTCACTCATCTGCTTAATGTTATGTTTCGAGATTAAGCTAGCAGGAGCTGACAACTCTCATTCCATCACATACAAATCATAGTATAGTATCTGGGTCTAAATGTATAGTCATTCTTAGTTCAACTTTGGTTTTTTTTACTCTCATTGGCAAGACTGCAGGCAGTCATCTTGGTTAATATCAGAAACCCAGTCAAACTAGATGGAGCTTGATTTGATCTCAATATTCAGTGGGGTTTGCATGATCCAATGGAGAGTCTAACATTTGGATTCAGTCAGAAGAAAATGTTAATGACAGTTCGAGAATACAGTAGCTCAGTAAATCAGTTTATTGTCCTTATGGTTTTAGATTAGCTAGTTAATAAGATCCTTATGAAGCCCACAAGTATTGACATCATTTTGACAATGCATGTTTTTTGTTTTTTTGTTATCTTTTCGACAATAGGGAAAACACTCCTATTCTTTAGCCACTTTAAAGTGTGGATAATTTGGATTAATATATTCATGTCTACTGATTTTACAATATTGGTGTCTAAATTCATCAAAAGTTTCTTGACTCTTATTTCATTAAATCAGAACAAACTTGTGTAATAATTTCTAACACAAAGTCCATGATTTTAATATAAACAAACATCAATGATGTCAGATAATTTCTAAGATATCCAGGAACCAAATATGCAAAACTGGCCACGCTGTACAGAAGTATGTATTTGGTTATGAATCTATTGAAACATTTATGTTTGTTATTGACTTTGACAGCCAATGAAGCCAATTTCTTTTCCTAGCAAGACGATATTACGGATATAAAATCAACCATGGTTCTAAAATACATGGTTTATGCATTGTAATAATTGGACAGTATGTTCACAGATATATGGCATACATGAACCAAAAAATTGTGTGTTTCTTCATGTCATTAATTGTGACCTTTTGATTTCACAAGCAGTTTTTCACTCATTTAAAAAATGTAAATACCCATGAGCATCATAATTTTAACAAAAGATATTTGCATAAAATTTCATTGTGGGATTTTGAAAGGTTGATTTCACTAATATGCCCAAAGTTTGCAGTATGTAATGCATAATGTATCAAATTTATGCAAATTCTATGCAATCTATGCAATTTTCAACATTAAGGTACTCTTTTTTGAGGAGAATAGTTGATAACTATATTGATAATAAAGAGACACACCTTATATATTGTTTTTTGCTTTTGCTTCTTAGCTCATCAGGACCAAAGACAAAGATTGGATGAGTAGTGACACAGTAGGAATCAGATATGTTCATGCCAGTCAAATATTATAAACATGAACTTTCTTTTTTATAAATCGGTAAACTTTCCAGTACTTTATTGAGAGAACAATCATACAACATCTTCTATACATTTAAGAACAATCGTTACCCTACTTCTGGTAGTGTTTTCAAGTTTTCTTTTGTCCTAAACTGCCATTCACAGAACAAAGATGTTATCATTGCCTATGATGCATCAAAGTGTCATATGCATGGCAAAAGCAAAGTAAAACAAAGTTTTACAGAAAAAGATAAGCATGTACAGACAAGACAAAGGGAGATAACTCTTATTCTTTACATGAACTACACTGTATTATCAGATACTGCTCCACTTTTCACTGATTAGTGTAAGTTGTATAGGTAAGCAAATTATTTCTTACAATTGTAGGTTTGTATTAAATATGTTAAAATCAAGAGAATGACATGTCTCACCTGGAACATATATTCTGAACCTTCTGATTGCCAAATACTGTCATTACTACATTTTCCACTTAGGCTGTTTGGAAGGAGAACCATTTGAATACTATTTATGTTTTAAGGAAGTTTTGTCATGAATATGTATGGCCTCGTACAATTATTGTCAGCCATTAAACATGAAATTAAATGGAAAAAGACATAATCTACTACAACATCATACCAGTTTAAACTACCTTGCCTCTAGCAAGCATAATGAGGAACCATAGGGGAATTCCATTATTTTAACAGAACTTCGAGTTTAATCACTTTTGGTTTGGGAAACACATGCCAAATGTACAATTTTAGAGAGCCCTATCCAACTGGCTACCTTACATAAGTGGATGTGAATCATATCTAAAACGGCACATAAAGTCAAGCAAGCCTTTCCTGAGGCCTAGGTAGGATATAGGAACGCCAGGGGTACATGAAGACCTAATATTAGAGGTGAAACCAGAATTCAGCACAAGTTGACGGATTATATGGATACAAATAAATCTGAATAAAAATATGTTTATTGGACTTTTCTACTTGCCTAAGATCGCCTCCATGGTCTAGTGATAGAGCATCCGCCCTGAGAGAGGAAGGTCGGGGTTCGATCCCCGGCCGCGTCACACCAGAAGACGTTAAAAGATGGTACTTGTTAACCTGTCTGGCGCTTGGCTTTAAGGGGCTAAAACAAGGACTGGTCGGCTCGAAGTCTGTATACTGTGTCTGAGTAGGGTATTCATGTTAAACTGCGGCATGGTATCTCAGTAGGCTAGCACTATAAATCGGCATCAGCCCGGACTAGTACAATCTCTCTCTCTCTCTCTCTCTCTCTCGCACGCACGCACGCACGCACGCACACGCACACACACACACACACACGTGTCGCTATATAAGTGCAATAATCTTGGACGCGACGTTAAACCCCATTCCACTTCACCTCTACTTACCTGATATGAAAGACAGTACGGAATTGCAGACTTCATTAGAACGGAAACTGCTCACCATTTGTTTGTTTTGTTTGGTTGTTGTTTAAAGCCGCACTCAGCAATATGCCAACTATATGACGGCGGTCTGTAAATAATCGACTCTGGACCAGACAATCCAGTGATTGACATCACGAGCATCGACCCACGCAATTGGGATACGATGACATGCATCAATCAAGTCAGCGAGCCTGACCACCCGATCCCGTTAGTCGCCTCTTACGACAAGCATAGTCGCCTTTCACGGCAAGCATGGGTTGCTGAAGACATCGGACCTTCACGGATCAACTGGCCACCAACCCCTAAACCATTTGTTATTGACAGGCGACTTGAAATTGTATAAATTGGAACTCTTAACTTCATGCACGTGTGGTCCGTGATATACAGCAAGCCATGTTGGACACTGTAGGTGACACACACCTTATACACATTCATGACAGGGAAGGGAATCTTTTCGATCTTGTCCTCATGACAAACCATCACTAATGAAGTCAACATGAAACACATCAGACCATGACCTAGTGGTGACAGATCTCACATCTCCCCAGAGATCGCAACAGGCTTCAAAGAAGTGTTATAAATTTCTCAAAGGTGGACTGGACCAGCATTAAGGAAGATATGATATGACTTTCTAATGATATTATTATGCATGATTAATTCACAAGCACTGAGATTGTATGGACCCAATTTAAAACAAGACTTATGACACCAATAGACAAACATATTCAGTCGAGGATGCTGAGACATAAGAACTCGCACACGGTTCAACAGTTCCATCAAAAGACAATGTATACAAGCAAATAAAACTAATACCTGGTCAACTTATAGATTCACCCAGAACGAATGTAAGCGCCGCATACGAAGAGCGGTTCGCCCCGATCATGTTTCTAGGTTTGTCAGCACCATACCCGTGCCCGTGGGTTTCACCGAAGTGGTAAACGTCTGAGACCTGCATCACTTCAGGCTTTCATCCCACATTAAGCTGACACACCGCGATATAATTGGAATACTGTTAAAAGCGGCGTTAAACCCAACTCACTCACTCACTAAGAAGAGCGGGGTGGTCATATCAAAGAAACAATCGTACATTGCCTCAAGGAAAACAACAGTAAGCCATTATGAAAATATGTAAAGTCCAAGAAGCAAGATAATATTGGTGCAGAACCGTTGATGTTCAGTTCTGTGTTTTCTGGGGTTAAGTGCACCAGTTTCCCAAGGGTGGCTAAGCAAGTCAAGGGCACTATACCCAGCTTATTCCTTAGTACAACAGGAGTATTGAAGATGCTAAAGGATCTGAATGCATCTGAACAGCATACCCACAAGAATACTACTATATTTCTATAGACACAGTCACACTTCCATCTGACTTCTGTTATCTGCATGGTCAAAACTCAGTGATAATGTTTATCACTAGCAAAATAGATATTTCGTAAAAGGAGCAGTGTGCAATTTTTGTCAGTACTGTAAGTAATATTTCCTTATGTCGGAATGGCGTGTTTTCACTTTATAAGTATTAGTACACATGCACCTATCTTCATTAATTAATCATCGCGATATTTCGTATTCTATTTTAAGTGACGAGGACTAAAGCAAAACAAATGGTACTGTGCTTCATGTAAAGTTAAAAAACAAACGTTTATTCTGAAATCAAATAATGCATCTTTCAATACATATTCATGAAGACATCTCCACACCATGATTTACAACTGGGACGTGCATGTTCTTCCAAGTGATGGTCATATACATATTTTTTAATGGAAAACAGCAAACTGGTTGTTTAGGTATCAGGTGCTGAAAAAGCACGTTTGTTCAAACGTAAATAACGCTTACGCAATGCCACAGCTTGCTGAAAATTAACGTCTGCGGCCGTGGGTATGCTGCAACAGGATGGGCGCAAAGAGAAGTTGCTAGACAATTTATGTCTATTGAAACACAATATCATCTCTTTGGAGAGGTAATGTATACATATCAGGGCAACACTCATGACTTGCCACGAGCGGATCGTCCACGTGTGACTTCACGTCAACAATGCAACCATATTCGGTTGGTTCATCTACGGAATCAATACCAAACTGTCACATTAGCAAATCGGAGAATTAGACCATTTAGTGGCAGAACCGTACGAAACCGATTGAGGGTGCACAAACACCGGCTCCGATGTCCATCAATAGGACGATGCTTCCACGCCACCGCCAGGCACGCCTTGCTCGGTGTACACAGCATCTGAGGTTCAGAAGACACGAATGGGACAGTATACTGTTCACAGATGAGTCCAGGTTTTATCTGGACAGCTCGGATGGTTGTGCAAGGGTCTATAGGCGTCCAGGAGAACGGTTTAACGACGCGTGCTTTACTCAACGTCGTCAGTTTTTGGGGGTGAAAGTGTAATGATATGGGGCGGCATCACGGCTCATGGGAGAACACCACTCATCAGTGAAAGAGGCAGTTTGAATGACGTGTGCTACCGGGACGACATTGTTCGAGATCATGTTCTTCCCTTGTGCAAATGCAGGGACGTAACATCACGTCGCAGGATAGTGCCCGCCCATACGTGTTTACATTGCTGTACTGCCATGGCCGTCTGTGTCTCCAGACCTCTGTCTGGGATGAGATGTTTCGACGCCTACGACAGGACCAAAACCAGTCGGTAACGCTGGCTCAGTTGGGCCAATCATTGGTTGACATTTGGAACAACATCCCCCTGGCTATGTTCAATCATCTGTTGTCTTCAATGCGCCGCCGCTGCCTCACCTGTATCAAGGCAAATGGTGGTCACCCCGATATTGACATTATTAATTGAGTTATACCACTACCCCGCTTTTACGACGTGTCTACTTTTACCAGGTATGGGTTTTGTCAATGAATTTGTTACATAACATTTTGATCAGACGAATGACGTGTTGTTATTTGCAATAACGTAGCGTTTACACCACATTATATGAAGCACAGCCACTTTACACACAGATGGTATACATCAGATTTAGACTTTTCCAGCATATGCCTTCAAGAACATGGTAAGTATTCTCAAATCAGACAAAGATGCGTTTACAATTCTTGAATGGTACAACGACTCAAGAATATCAACAGTAAGTAGCCCCTTCTTAAGCTAATTTGCATTTAGCTGCTTCCAAACCATTTTTACAAGACTATTTCCGGTAGGATATAGTGCATGTCTAAAGCTATAGAAGGCTGTAATGACAGGTGAAACTGTATCCCTCTGTACTGATACAAAATAAATAGTGCAATGCAGGAACGAAGTTGGTACTATATCGGACATACTATTCACTTTTACCCATCTTTACCAAGCTGAAACACATCTCTTACATTGAAAACTTCAGAGATAATCGACAAGAAGAGCATGTTTGTTAAATTGCAAACAATTTTTTTAACAAACATCCCTCCTGGGATCCTTCTGGCTACAAGGGACTTTCTGGAAGTAGGCAGATATATACAACTTATAACTTAAGGAAGAAAATTGATG